CAGGAGTTAATTTTTACCAGGAGATTCGTTTGTTGACTCATAATATGCGATGACATATTTCTGTTTGATGAAGACACTAACAAAATGCAGAGTTTTCTGATCACCATAATCTGAACCAAAACAGGGCACAAGTCCATGAAGTTACTGTAAAGTGAGCTGATGATTCCCTCCTCACGCCCTGACTAAAATTCTAATTACAGTAAGTAGATCGAACCCAATATCATCAGATTTGTTTCCATGGAGTAATATAGCTGCTTATCAAAAAACATTAACATCTCGTGGTAGTAAGAGAGCAGCAAGTTTTATCAATACCATGTCTGAAATATTCTTTCTCTCTACAGTGATTTTCAACGTCTTGGGATTACTAACCTTATTTCTATCCCTACTCATTTATGTAGGCCTGGGATCGGCAGTAACAACATACGTGTTCTAGGTGGGGTTGTGAAAAATATTAGCTTCGATATTAATTGGACGTCTAACAAGCAGCAATGAAGAGTGAACAATTAACTTCTGGACTACTGGGTTGGCATTCAAAGGTAATAATGACTAACTTTACTAACGAAATGCCTCTTGAGGGAATTCTCCGAGCTCGAAAGAGTTGCCGTGAACAGTGTAGTTCAACCATAACCGATGAGAGACACTACGGAGGAATGAACTATATGAGGTTGCACAATATGTTGGACTGATTAAAGTTAAAAATAAACACCATCGGAGGCCGGCTCAGTAGTCTGGAGCTAATTTTTCTCGCGCGAGATCCAGTAACTTGGGCTCAATTCATGGTCGCAAAGTCGCGGATGCGCACTACTGAAAAGTCTTATACTTGGACGAAATGACTGTCATAGAAATATTTATTACTCTCCCAGTGAGCTCTGAATCCAAAAGGTCTAGGTTCACACGCGTATCGCCCAGTCCAAATCCAAAAATGACAAATCTCGGAAAGAACGGTTCTATTTTTAATCAAAAAGGGAAATACAGACAATTACCAACACAATATTACACCTTCGAGTTTCTAATCACAACAATAAGTTCCGATACAGGAAGAATAAGTGCTTCCAGTTAGTTGGGACGAGCTGCTGCTAGAGTATCAAATCCAAAAATGGATGTAGCCATATTAAGTATCAATTTTAAACAACACATATATAGTTCAGAAGGAAACAGAAATTTCAATATAAGTACAAGATATAGAAATAATAACAAGATACAAATGATAAAATCCCAAAATGGGGCCAAATAGAGTACCAAAATATCGAACAGAAAGAGTCAGTCAGATCATAACACAAATATATATACATGGATGGATTTTGCAAAAACAAAGCCTTCAAAATAGATTCTACAGTCATCTTCAAGTTTTCTATTAGTGGTATGCCATTGATCTTTATTGGTGACGGAGTCGAGATTGACAATGATCATCACTAAATACTAATTACAAACCTGTCACCGAGAAGATAAATAAATCCATGATAAAGAGTATATTTGCTGGCGATTTCGTGCTATCAAAAGAATACCGAAATCAAACCGGAAAAGTGGGCGAAATTACAGAGCTGGCAGATCAAAGAAGTTTTGCGCGTCATGTGCGTTAAAAACAAGAAGTACAGCTGAACAATCACTGGTACAACTGGTTATAATAATGAATGTTTCGGTTGGTCCAGTCGCGTTCTCTTCATAAAAGTACATCACTACAGCAGCCTCCTGCTGCAAACGGTTTACACTTTCGATACGAAGGGGCTTCGCTCATGAGACCGATCGGCGAAATCTGCGATAGTAGGACGGAGGGGTTGACGAACAGGAAGCGATCCATGATGCTCGAGTTGTCACCGAAGGTCTTTCGCGGAGAACGGTACCAGCAGTAATGTGCCATGTTTGCCGCTCGAGTTGGCGTGGCTCGTATACAGAACCTGTAGATTGCATTCGTAGCGGTCCGGACCAGAAAACGCTTCAGACGTACAACGGAACCAGGAACAAACATAACGACCAAGTTCGGGACCGTGTATATGCCAGACGTAGTCGTAACCAAAACATCGACTGAGTGCACTGACAAGAGAATCGGTGATCAGGCCAGCTTTCGCCAAGATTGACTGAAGTAGCCGGTAACAGCAGGGCGGTGGTCATAGGCGTGGGCTCAGGGTAAAAAATCAAAGAAAAAGAGGAAGGTGCAGCAGGCATGTAGTATGAGAATGAAGTCCCATACAGTATCCGTTGTTGATTGGGTGATTAGTCGCGAAAAAGTGCAGTTAGGCGTACACGGCGACCAGAAAGTGAGACGGTAGTCTCACGCCTACCTCGTCAGCCTGCAGTCTCATTCGAAGTCAAGGGCGGCGTGGTCTACTGATCTGGATTTCAGGCCGGAGTCTCGTCCGTAGATAGTGCGGATGACGTGTGCTGTTGGCTAGGAAGCGAGAATGAGGTCTCTGATGTATCTAGCGTGGGGTCCGAAGGAGACTTTGGGATCCTGCTAATGAGCTGGATGGGTCTAGCATTATATCTCGGTTCATCGGGTAGGGCACTGCCATCAACGTGTGTTAGTTTGAGACGATCAAGGTCTTTTCTTGACGAGAGGTCAGGCGAAAAGATCCTTCGTAAGGCTCTTGCTACGGTTTACTAACCAAAATCTACTCGTTTGATAAGCAATCTCGTCCTCTTCATAAAAGTGGATTCACAACAGATCGACTCATGGTTTTAATGGAACTCGACAACCTCCAAAACCCAATAGTGAAAACGCAGTTTTTCGTATGCTTCAGACAACAAAACAAGTATGGTCGCTATGTTAGGTGTATGATGGTTGATTGATGGGGTACTGTACTCCCACTAGCCGAATTTGTTAGCATAAATATCACCTACACCCAACCATTCCCATTTTATGCCTACCTCAACAAACGATGCTGTTTGGCGTAGGAGTGGACTGGATGAAAGCCAAACCAAGATTTTATACCAGTCCATGAAGTCATAGACAGTTGAACTGAGATAAGTTTAGAGTACTTGGTTAGGGACTACGTGGTCATTTTGACCAATGGCCAGGGACTTTGACTGAAAGTCCAAGATCATTTGTAGGGGCTTCAGTGCATTCATACTTTGTTGTTTCTTGGAATCTGAGCTTACAAATTTACTGATACGTTTTTACTGTTTTCATATCTATTTTTTTCTACTAATACTTCGACTACGCTGACATATCTTAACAATTTGATCACACTGTGCTGTTCTCTGGTAAGTTGAACTGATGCACATATGTGCCTAGTCCCATATTGCGTATGTATGACGGACTGATCAGGTCAGAATACTTCGGTGGAGAAGAAATTAATGCAAACTCTGGAGGAATTCACCCAGTAAAAATTTTTAAAAATCCGGTTGTGTATATCATAAGAAATGGAATATTTTAGTTGAAGTGAAAGACATTAAAAACCAAACTGAGCTAATAAATGCACTTATCTGACAACATAAGTATAACGCTAACCCATACGAATCGCACTTCAGGAACTACCATTGGATAATTAACCTCTGAGAACTCTTAAAATGACATAACTGGAATCAAGTGACATATTGAAATACCAAAGACTGATCATAGCCCACTTCTTTCCAGACAATAGTAACTGCTGTTACCGAATGATCACCTAATTTTTTTGAATGTGATAGGTTTGTTTAAACAATATAGAAGGCTTAAACTGACATTAATATCCACGAAAATTGTGCTACTGAGATTCTATCGTTTACTTTTTATATTTCACGTAAACATGTTTGTGACGTCTAGTGCATGAAAAGCAGATCTAACATCAAAATACTTGACTTGCAAAATAATGAAGAGGCAGACCAGCCTATAAATGTCCTTTGATTAAGATCAGTTTTTTGGAAAACAGATTGGATTATTAAGTGGACTTTTATTTCATTAGTAAATGAATATAACCGTACTTCATTTTGGACTGATTTCAGTACTTACATCTCTTTGTTATACACTGTCCAATGAAATATGGATGACTGTTTGAAGTCTTAAGATAGTCTGGAGGGGACAGCCAACTAACGTGATTGCCATATGAAGATTTCTACAGTTTCATTTGATATTCACAATGATTTAAATACTATACGGTTATTTAACCAGCATCATAATCGGTAAGACTGTCATTAAACTATGATTCAGCGACCAGTGATTTTCCAGATGGTACGAACCAATTGTATGTAATGAATGAAAATTTCTACAGACAAGAAAAGTATTTACCTCTTGAATATAAAAACTCCAATCCTAACAGTTACTTATCTTTTTATTTGCGAATTCCATTTTACTGATGGGAAGGATAACCCATTCCGTACGGTACGACGTAATGACAATAAACTTCTCGCTGTATCAAGTCTTCTGCGTACTTAAAAAAAGCCAACCAAGTCTAAGAAGGCTTACCTCAGAAATTTCTTGCATTTATTCGTTATCTTGCGAGATATCCATGGAATTAGGGCCATAAAATTTAACAGTATTATCATAGAAAACATCACCGGAAGGGAAGCGAATTTGAGTAATAATAATATGAGTACAATTTTATAGTGGACACTGTGATCATTATTATGGAGGCGTCAACGGACTTTTCTAAAACCATACATAACCGAAATTCCCAACAAACTTCTACTGCATTCAGGCTTTCAGTTATATTTCCATATCGCAGATATTCCGAACAAGTTCAAACACTACAATAATAATGAGGTACGGACGGCTTAAGATCTGCAGTTAGTGCACAGTTTCACATCACATATTTTATGACAAACCCAATCAAACTTGTCATACTGGCATAAAATTTCCCCAAATACCATGAGTTCAGACTCTAATAATTAGCCCTTGCATTTTTTAGGAGAAATAGGTTCACAGTGGTAAGTTGTGCAGAATAAATTGAAATATATAACAACTCCAGTTAATGAAAATTAATGATTTCTAATTAAACTATGATGACTATGAAGCATGAGAGTTTATCAGTAAACATATATATATATATATATATATATATATATATATGATTGGCTAGTGAGTTCATAAATTTAAGTGAAAGTCTCCCAGTATTTCATTTGTTTAGTATGAGAAAATAATTTTAAAACTTTTAATTCTATTAACTAATAAACAAATTGACAGGACTTTTTCACATTTACGCTACATTAGCAGTTATGGAAAAATCGAAGCTATAAACAAATAATTAGGAGAACATATATAATGTTAAGTGAAATCCCAGCTATATGATCACAAAGTAGTAAGTACGGTACGTTTCGGAGTCTGTACAACGTCTTCGAAAAATTGTTAACATTCTTTCGTTGAACAGTTTTGAAACAGAGTTCATACTGACATTAAAATTGCGATAATAGTATTACTCAAGACTTGGGTGGAAAAGAAGCGAGTTTTGAAAACTATGGACATGTAGAAATGTTCACAATTAATCGTTTCTCAAAAAAGCACTGTGAACATCGAATGAATGACAGAATTTTAGATTGTTGTTATTATTGTATAGATGATTCCGAAATTAATTGTAAAGTTCCAAGGACTTTTTTTACAGCCTAACACTACATATTGACCGTAAATAAAAGACAAGATTTTACTAACGTTATTCAGCTTTTCTAATGAGTAAAATAGGAAAATATGTGGAAGTAAACTTTTAGATAAAATGTTTAATTCGCTGTTTAAACTGCGGGTTGTAATCCTAAATGTTGAAGTTGTGCCCGTAAATTAACTCGCTGATCGTTCAACTCAGCAAGTTCACCTTGCATTTCATTATTTAAACGAAGTAACGTATGATTGACTGATTTGGCTTCCCGAATAAGTGAAGATAAGAGACGACGTCGACGGCTACTAGATAATTCAGATAAAAATGTTTTTCGATGACCAGTGATCGCGGATAATAATTGGATCGGATCAATACACCTAATCGGAAGATGAAAGGAGAAGTTTAAATGAAACGATTTCTAGGTGGAACTGTAAATAATATATAGAAAAAAGATTTATAAAGTGTCAGATGAGGAACGTGATATTGTGTTCATAAACAATACAGATCATTTGATTATTTATTCGTTTAAGAATAAACAATATATACTTTTATCATAAAATCAACTATCTCCACAAACACCTATAACAATATTATATGGGGTCAGCAGATTTTCGTTGTCGAAATTCATGGCTACGATTGATCAGTCTTTGTTACCATGTATATATCTTCAGTAGACTGTTTTGATATAGTTTTTAGGTAGACGTAAGAGTGGGGTCTCAATATAAACATTACATTTGAATATATGTACATCTATCAGAACAGTTGCAAACAAAACGAAACGTTAATCCTGGATTTGGGTGCTGGGCACATAACAGGTATGCGAAAATGTAAATATGTTCACAACTAAGAAACTGATCTTCAGCACAAAGAGTAAATGTACGGTTCGAATTCACATTTTGATTACACCTGAACTTTATGCAGGAAATTCAAAATAGAAGACTTTAAAGCTTAAACATGTAACTTTCAAGTTACTGCTCACGTTTTTGAGAGAAACGGCTAATAAATTGTCACACGTAAATGTAAGTGATTAAAGACGTGTTTACAGAACTCGAAAAATATTGAAATGTAACATGTTAGGTTAATCAGATGCAGGTCAACTAATAAGTGAAGTACTAACCACATGCTATTGGTTAAGATTTACTTTAACTTTCTCAATAAGAATGGAAATGTAATTTCTGGGTTGCATATATCTATATTTAAAAATGGGTTGTGCATAGATTTTCCATTCGGTTTAGCCAATAAAAGTTCCCTACTCAATTGAGGTCCTATCACCCAATTAGCTAGTTTGACTTGCATAAATTGAGCACTTTCATACATATGAAGATGATATCAACATGGTAATGGTAGTTTGATTAAATAAAATAAAAATGATTGAAAAACTATATATATATATATATATATATATATATATATATATATATCTGTCCATAATTTCTTTACCAACAATAAATACTTTTAATTGGCTCTACAGAACATCGCAGAGCAATCTAAAAGTTATCATACTTAATACTGTATTCATATAACCCAGTTAGACAATGAAGATAAGCATAGCAATGGATGGTTTTTTTTCTACTGAATAACTATAAAGCCTTTTTTCATGTCAGAAAACATTGTAAAGAAAAAAATCATATTCTAACAATAAGTTCTTAACTATATATCTAACATTTATGAAATAATAACCAAGATTTGGACGAAAAGTTTTAGTTTACGTATTGGGTACTTAACATTTTGAATTACAAAGATTGATCATGAACTAGATCACAACTTTACTTCAGTCATGACTGAGTAAAGATAATTTCCTTCTTACAAATAGTAGTCATTCATAGGACCACTAAATTTGACAAATTACAGCATCTTTTTGTAGATAAAAAAACTCAGCTGATGGGACGTCGATATTCAAAATCCGAAAATACAGACAAACAATTAACAATGACAAAAATAATAGTGAATCATATCATCTTACGGGTTATTTGTACTAGTTTTTTCACTAGATAAATGCACAGAATCAACAGAACCACTAATTTCAGAAGACGAGAGTGGTGATGCTGATAAACGTGAAGATGAGTAAGAGGACGAAGATGATGAACTACCAATAATTCCAGATGAAGATTTACTGCGACTATCACAGCCATTAATAGGGTCATGTGATAAGTTTTCAAATGAATTATAATATAAACTTTTAGAATTAGTTTCAGGAATATCAAAAGCAGAATCCATATTGAAGGAATAAGAAGAATCATCAAAAATAATTGGATTCCGATTACTAAGAATGTCTATTGCAGAATGTTGCTTTAACAACGGATTATTCATTGAATTATAATTCGAATTACTGCTCAATAAACCAGTGGAGTATAGATATTCTAGATCAGGACGGTCGGATTGATTACCTTTTGTAGAGTAAAATCAAGTTTATGGTAAAATGAAGGATAAGATTAAAACAATAGTCATATGAGTAACAGAATAATTTACTCAAAAGTAATACAAGATTAAAAGTGCTTTTATACAACGTGTTGATTCATTTCTGTTTTCTAAGCAAACTGACTTCAAAAAGAGAAAAAACGGTCATGAGGAATTCAGAAGATTACGACTTCAGTGAACACAAAGAATGGATGTACCTGTGCCATCGCAAATGGTTTTGAGCCATGTTTGTCGGTTCCTGCATTTATTTCGCTTCATTAACAAAATAAACTGTTCAGAATGCGAAAAACAATACATAGGAAACAGTAGACGTCCTCTTCAGGAGTAGTCAAGCAACATGACATTTCTTTCTTTATATCCATACATACGGACAACTATGACATTCGTCCACAGGTTTAAGGTCAATAAAAACCTATTAAGATCGAGGTCAACAGCATAAGCTATGAGTCATAAGTGGCGCTTCACTTATCTCGGGAGTCTCATCAGCGCTGATGGCCTGGCGAAGGACGAAATCTCAGTACGGATACAGAAGGATCGATTGGCTTTTGCCGACTTACATCATTTATAGCGTAGGGGAGATATCCATTTGCTAACGAAACGTTGAGTCTGCTGCGCAGTAGTTCGCTCCGTTTTACTATACGGATGCGAAACAAAGCCAGTCAGAGTATAAGATATTCGTAGGTTACTGGTTTTCGATCATAGGTGTCTTCGAAGCATTGCTCGTGTTTCGTGGAACAACCCAGTAAGCAATGCAATAGTTAGGGAACGAGTACTAGATAAGGATGGCAAATCAGTTGATGAAGTATTGAAACTTTATCAGTTAAGGTGTTTAGGACATGTGACACGTATGCCCAACAACCGATTGCCTAGACGAGTTATGTTTTGTGGTGTAGGAGTAGGTTGGAAGAAAACTAGGGCCGGCCAGACCGAAACATGACACAAATCCATGAAGCCACTGACAAATGGACTGAGTCATGTTGGTAGGTGTAGACTAGCTGGTTGGGATCCGCGAGATGATAGTAATCAACGGTTATAAATCTTGAATGACAGCTCAAAACCGTTTGCAATGGCACTGGTGAATCCATATTTTGTATTTTCTCAAATCGTAATCTTCTGAATTCCTCATCACCCTATCTTTCTTTGTTTATTAATTCATTTCACCGAATCATACTTCTTGAATAATTTCTTCGAACCCTAATCTTCTCCATCACCAGTAATACTTCTAATATCTGTACCACTATGGGATTTGAACTGATGATTGCGTCTCTGTGCTAATGTGGTACAGCGACCTGGACTTATGTACTTACGTGCGAAGTTCTACGTTGTAACTGACTGACATAGGTGGAGAGATTCAAATACTTCACTTCTACTTGAAGTTTGTGTTGTTTTGAAGAACAACAGAAACTACACAATCAAAACCTCCAGCTCAGATGATAAAACTTCATCACCTGAGTTACGGATTTCCTCCACCATATCAAGGAATCAAAGTGGCATTAACTTCAGCATGTCATGAGGCTTCAGGTCAGGAGAAACACCATCATAAGGAATGGAATAAATGAAACGCACTGAACAATTTCTGAATAAAAGATCTTCAGTGGGACTGTTGCTGTTCTCTGATAATGAAGAAGAAAATAATACGCATACACGAAGTGTTCTCATGCTGTTCAAAGAAGCACTACATGAGACCACAGAATAAAAAACTCATTGCACCTCGATCATCAAACCATCCTTCAAATAATTCGAGGAAAAGGTTACAGTAAATGTCATTCAGTGACATGATCTCAAGAGTGCTGCCACAGAAGATTAGTGTTAACTCCCACTGGGAAATGAACTTACCAACCGAATAAGAAATCTAAACGTCAAAATTCATGACAGACAACATCGAATACAAAACCATAAAGTGATGACATGTACATTGAAAAATGCTTAAATGTATATGGACTACCAACATGGACATATGCTCCGAAATGTTCCCTTAACAAATCCAAAAAAGCTACATGGGTTACGGACAATCAGCCAGACCAAATATGTAGGAACCAAAAATATGGAAAGTCTATTAAATATGCAAGAACAATAAGGGAAGCTGATCTGGCTTCAGATGGCCATCTAATTACCGACAAAATAAAACGTTCAACTAGCAGCATGACAAAAGTTTATTATAAGCCTACCTCTTGGATGATAACAAGCTCAGCAATTTCTAGATCTCAGAAACAGGTTTCAAGCCTCATAGGATCTACTAAACAAAGTAGAAACACCCTTGTAGGACAACTGGTAAGAGGTTGAAGAAGCAATAACTTCAACATATCAGGAGGTTCTATGCCAAAATAAACAGCAGTACAAGGAGTGAATCGCTATAAACGTCTTAGGCGATGCCCAATAAGGAAAGAAACAATAGGACGGAAATGAACAAAAAGCTCCCATCGACCATTCTGATGGGAGACCGAAATTTCAAGGTTGGTATGGACGACACTGGATATGAAGACATAATGGGACGACATTGACTGGGAGAAAGGAACGAGAATGGTGAGAGATACGCCTTCAACAAACTGATGATAGGCGGCACAATATTCCCACACAAACGCATACACAAAGTTACATGGATTTCACCGGATTACACTACTCAGAACCAAATCGATCATATTTGTATCAATAAAAAGTTCAGAAGGACCATGGAGGGTGTGAGAACCAAGAGAGGAGCTGATGTAGCCTCAGAATACCACTTGCTGGTCGCCTACAAGGTAAAACAGACCGAATGACTGTGCAGTAAACTCATCTCACCTACACGGGTGACGTAAGTCGACAAAAGACAGTCGACTTTACTAAATTTGTATCGTGGTTGTATTATACACCAACCTAAGAAGACTTATGAAGTGATCGACATGCTCAACCAATTTACTCTCTATCATTAATTCAGATGAAGGCTGATCCTGGAGCAGTATTTAGAATTTAAGGGATTAGAATCGCATTCCAACTATGCTTGGATTGTTGCTTAAGTTGATTGGAAGATTGCAATTTATCAACATTTTCACTAAACAGAACTATATCATCTGAATATTCTACGTAAATAAGTGAATCTCCTGGTAGAACAACCCTTGAAGAGTTAGATGATGAGTGCTATCTAAAAAGCATGGCTATGACAAATTTAAATAAAAGTGCGGAAAGTGCACACTGTTGACAAGCATCAGTTGCAGTAATCAATCCTGATGAAGGTTTGTAATAAGCGCTAACTCGACCGGCAGTGTTCAAATTTAGTCTGTATATAGGTATATAGCTAGTTTACAGCTACTAATGAATGGAAAATGTGTTACCCTATATCCGAATTGAAAAGTTATATCTTGAGATACATAGTACCGTTGTCTGCCAAATTACTAACAACGGTGCAATCTATATGTAAATTTTAAAGCTATTAAAAGAAATCATACTTATACTTGGAAGTGATTGAGAGAGTTGTTGTGATTTCTATTATTACTGTGGGCAACACACATCCAGATAATTGTTATTCATCACACAAGGGAAATGAAAATGACATTCGTAACAAACGTTTAGAAATTACAGTAATCTTAGTATACACAAGCGACCGGTGTTTTACGATGTTTCATGCTTATCATATGACTGGTCAGTCAGTGAGTCAGCAACAACGTAGAACGTGACACGTACGCACTGATGAGACTCTCAAAGTGAGGCGGTCGATTGCTTCACCCCCTATCACTAGTTCAGGTGCCGATGTAAGCCAATCCTAAAGCAAAATTTTGCATTTCGAGGGGGAGAATCGCATCCCGAACGTGCTCGCATTGTTGCTTAGTGTAGTTAGAAGACTCTGCAATTTGTCAGTGTCTTCACCAAGTAGAACTGTGTCTTTCGCATATAATAAGTCAACCAGCGAGTCTAATGATGAAAGCCAAGTTCCTTCGGAAGTCACGAAGTCGAGGCCCCTTCTTACAACCATAGCCCTTCCACGGTGTGAGCAGCCTAGAGGTAACATCCGCTCTCATACCCGTAAAAACACAATAGACCAAATCGGTCACAATCAAATCCTTCCATATGAATTGTAAAACATAGTGATAATAAAAGTTCTCAAAAAAGCAAATAATTACTAAAAACATACCTTTGTTTCCAGTTTTTTTATACTTTTTAATAATTTTACTGATATAGGGTTTACACGCAGTAACAGCATCGTCAAATGACAAACCACGATGACCAAGTAAATGTGCTAAATGACTAGCTAAACAAAACTCATATTTATCTAAATAATTGTCTCGATTGATGTCAGCAACTAACCTGATTAAAATAAATGAACATATAGACAAAAAGGTATTAATAATGCGTAGATAAGTAAACAAAAAGACCAAATGTTTTATGTAGGTTCCTTCGTATTTGTTATGCTATCACTTGTACGGAGGTATTTTTCTTATTTTTTTTAGTGGGTAAAATCGGTAGTAAGAAATTGGTAAGATGTATTACGCTTTATAGAGAAAATGAATGACGAATTTCTATTTAGTCGAAGAATACCCGACCGTAGCTGCTACCTTGACGTGGTGGTCGGGCTTGCCTATTGTCATGACCCAACCGAGCTATACTGGCTGGAACATATGTTCCTGCAGGTCCTACCATGACACGCAGGTCGATTGCAGAACGATGCGACTAAAACCAGCTACCCAAGGTCTGAGGGCGAAGTCGTACTGCTGACTGCAGAGGGGTGTGACAGCAGTAAGGTGTTTACCTTGGACAACCAGCATCTGCAGCGATGCTGCCTACTCACAAGGAAGGAAGGGTTAGAAAAGATCGACCCTTAAAATGTCACACCTCACCCTACCTCACGGATTTCCATTTCCGGCCGCAAGGGTGCCCACTGAGGGCTTTCAAGTGCGAAGCTAATACTAAAAAAACCTTTCATCAAAATGCCGTCAAAATCAAAGTCAAATCCTTCCTACACCCACACATACCTCTCTTCTCTCCACAACTAACTCTACTCACATTCCCTTATCTGGCTGCACCGCCAATGCAAACGACGCGAGTTCACGTAACGTCATTCCTGGCCTCTTGAAACCTCGTTCTAGACTACATGTTGGAGCATTTAATGTATGGACATTGTGTCAAATAGGGCAACAGGCATCATTAGCTAGGACTTTAGAATCTCGTACCATCGATGTATGCTGCGTCTCGGAAACGCGCATACAGGATCCTAGTAAAATTATTAATCTGATTTCACCTTGTCAAAATAAAGAAGCAGCTCGATTTACTCTTCGTGTATTCGGTAGCCCTGATGCTTCTTCCTGGGGTCTCGCCGGTGTAGGTATAGTATTGAGACGTAGGGCAGAACTAGCTATCATAAACTGGATCCGACTAGATAGTCACCTGTGCGCTGTCCGACTGAACGAGACAGTAAGGACTCGGAAGGATAGGGACACCCGCGTTGCTTCTTCGTCGTATCAGCCTATGCCCCTACTGACTGCAGTTCAGACGAGGTGAAAGATGAATTCTACAGAAAGCTTTCGAACCTCCTCCAAAAAGCTAGGCGCTCTGATATAGTATTAATGGCTGGTGACTTCAATGCTCAAGTAGGTAGACTAAGTGAAAATGAAAGACACCTAGGTGGATGTTATGGTGTCGCGGCTCAGAGAACAGACAATGGTGACCGTCTGTTGCAAGCATGCTCAGACAACCGCCTGTTCTTAGCAAACACTAACTTTAGGCATAACGAAAAGCATCTGTTGACCTGGCGACCTCCAAAGTCGTCTCAACGTTGGACCCAACTAGATCACATTGCCATCAGCCACCGATGGACGGGTTCGATAGAAGACTGTCGCTCGTTCTGGGGCACATGTTTAGATTCAGATCATGCCCTAGTGCGAGCGCGTATTTGTTTGAGGCTTACTGGGCATAGGAAAGACACCGTAAGAAAGCCTCTCAGGGTTTTACTTGATGATAATAAGGCGAAAAATATATTTCAGGAACAACTAGAAAGACAGTTAGGCGACCATGCAAGTGATTCCCATCCGGAGTCAGGTTGGAATGATATCAAAAAGGCTGTGGAAACAGCACTGATATCTGCTAGTAAGGTTGACCATAAGGGAGGATGAAGCCCTGGATCTCAGTAGCATCCACCGATCTGATGGATGCCCGAAAACTCATCCCACCTGACTCTGAACATGAAGAACGAAGTCAGCTTAGGCGCAGGCTGATAAAAAGCCTGCGCAACGACCGTGAACAGTGGTGGGCGGCGAAAGCGATGGAAAAGGCAGCGGCGATCGGCAACAGTAGACAACTTTTCCGACTTAGCAAGGAAACTGGTATTAGGAATCCTAGTGTAAGTGAGACTATCTCGGAAAGGGATGGGACTATTATCCATTCTCAATCCAGGAGACTGGATCGATGGGCAGAACACTTAAGGGATCAGTTCAACTGGCCTCGAGCTACTCTTCGGTTGCCCACGATCTCCAGTCATCCTGAATGGCAAATCGATATAAGTCCCCTTAGTCTTTATGAAGTTGAGAAAGTGTTCGGAAATCTGAAGCAAGGGCGAGCTGCAGATCCTGATAGACTGACTCCTGAGATATTTAAGGATGGTGGTCGAGTCTTAGCAGCTAGGTTGACTGAGATCATAGGTAGAATCTGGGAACTGGACACAATCCCAACCGACTGGTCTCAATCACTGATTGTCCCAATCTATAAGAAAGGACAGGAGTCTTCTTGTGACAATCACAGAGGAATAAGTCTAATTAATGTAGTTTCTAAGTTGTTAGCCTCGATTATACTTAGACGCCTTACTAGTGCTCGTAAAGAGCAGACATGTCTGGTTTCCGACCTGGACGTGGTTGTATAAACCACATTTTCACACTACGACAGGTCCTGGAACACAGACACACATTTAGACGTCCGACAATAGTCGCATTCCTGGACCTAAAAGCGCCATTTGACTCAGTGGATCGTGAGGTTCTGTGGCAGTGTCTGTCATTGAAAGGTGTAACAAAGAAGTACATTAACCTCATACAAGCTCTCTACTCAAACACCACTGGTCGAGTGAGAGCTTATGGCGAACTGTCATCGGAATTCCTCACTTCAAGTGGTGTCCGTCAGGGATGTCCACCTTCTCCGTTCTTGTTTAATTTTATCATAGACATGCTCCTGGAAATAACCCTATCCTCGTTTGAATTTTCAGGAGTAGACCTTTGACCAGGTGGCTCGCTTATTGACTTAGAATATCCCGATGGCATATTCTTACTTGGTGAAGACGCTGACAAAATACAGATTGGGTTTCATCGGCACCTGAACTAGTTATAGGGAGTGAAGTAGTCGAGCGTGTAGACCGCTTCACTTATCTGGGGAGTCTCATCAGTGTTGATGGCCTGGTGACTGAAGGAATCTCAGCTCGGATACAGAAGGCTCGATTGGCTTTTGCCAACCTGCGTCACTTATGGTGCAGGCGAGATATCCGCTTGCTATCCAAAGGACGAGTGTACTGCGTAGCAGTTTGCTCTGTCCTAGTATACGGATGCCAAACATGGCCGTTAAGAGTAGAGGACATCCGTAGGTTACTAGTCTTCGATCATCGATGTTTAAGAAGCATTGCTCGTGTATCGTGGGACGACCGAGTAAGCAATCCTATCGTTAGGAAACCAGTTCTAGGTAAGGATGGCAAATCAGTTGATGAAGTATTGAAACTTCATCAGTTGACGTGGTTGGGACCTTGAACAACATGACTCAGAATCGTTTGCAATCGCGCAGGTGCATCTACTGTTTCTGTGCTTTTTAATTCTTACCTTGTGAATTCCTCATCACATCTATCTTTCTCCTTCTAAATTTATCTCACTGAATTATACTTTTCGAATCATATCTTCGCTCCCTAATCTTCCTTATTGCTGCTAATAATTCTACTATCGCTACCATTCTTGGATTTGAACTGACATTTACGTCTCTGTGCTGATGTTGTATGGCAATCTGAACTGATGTACTTGTGTACGAAGTTCTGCGCTGTATCCTTCTGTCTGTCTGTCTAGTCGAAGAATATCTTTACGACTTTGGGGATGGGTTGGGATATACTTAAGTTTGAGAAATGGGATATGTCCAATGTAACTTGATAATCATCCAACAGAGATACAGATTTTCTTTACCATCTCCAAACTCATTTATTATTAATTAGTCTAAATTACGAAGCGTGATTCACCGACCATGTGTAATAAGAATCTGATGTTGATGTGAATTATCATTTGGTGTGGTAGGTTCGCATCATTAAACTGTCGTCCTAATGTTATCTACCACCACGAGAATTTTCGAAATGTAATTAACAATGACTATTCAGGTAGATAATCAATATAATTTGGAACTCATCCAGTTAGATATATCCATAGGCTAATAGCCGAAATAATTCAAAGTTAGCAATCATCTCCTAAAATACTAGTGAACCAACAGGAAACAATCTTCACAGGTTATTTTTCATACTACCGGTTTACGACTAAATTATATTTCTGATGTTCAGTAGATCAAACTCCAGTTAGCACAATGTAAGAAAGAATTTTTTCAAAGTGATATATTCGGTCAAGGACTTGGAAATCAGTAAGCTGGCTACACTGAAGAACTTTGTACGCACAAACCTCAGTTCAAGTTGCCACACCATATAAGAGCACACAGATAGAATTGTTGATTTTAATTCCATGGAACCAGAGGTCGTAGAGGCATGGCGGTAAAACAGCGGATTAGGGTTTGAAGATATTATTCAAAAAACATAATCCAATGAAATAAATTTTAAAACAGAAAGATAAAGTTGATAAGTAGTTCGGAAGATAAGAATTCGATGTAAAACAAAGAATGGATGGATCTGCAACATTGTAAACGGTTTTTCGCCAAGTCATTTGAAGTCTCCAACTATGCGTTGCTATCGTTTAACGGATCCCAATCAGGTAGTCTACACTTATCAACAGGGCTTAGCCCACCTGACAGTAACTTCATGGATTTGTGCCCTGTTTTGGTTCAGATTATGGTGGTCAGAAAACTCTGAATTTTGTTAAGGTCATTGTAATTCTTCGGTACTCCTTTCAGTAACATACACTGTCGTAGAACCTCACGATCAACAGATTCAAATGCCGCTTTAAGATGGCAAAATTCTACTGTTGTAGGACGTCAGAACATGCTTTTATGTTCTAACATCTAACAAAGTGTGAATATGTGATCTATACAGCCAAATCCAAGTCTGAAACCAGACTGGTTTTCTCTAGTTTGCTCTTCACGAACACTAATTAAGCGTCGTGGTATTTATTATTGAAACTAATGTTTTCGACACTATGCTAGTTATACTGACTCCTCTGTGATTGTCACAGGAGGACTTTTGTCCTTTATTATAAACTGGGACAATCAATGATAGAGAGCAGTCGGATGAGAATACGTCCAGTTCCCTGATTCTATATGAGATCCCAGTCAGTTTAACTGTTAAAACTGGACCACCATCCTGAAAATTCCAGGGTTAAGCCTGTCAGGACTCACTGCTCTCCCTCGCCTCAGATTTCTGACAACTTGTTCAACTTCATAAAGAGTCGGAAGGATCACATCGATTGGCCATTCAGGTTGACTGGAGAGCGTGAGCAGCCGAAGTGTGATTGTACGCCAGTTGAGTTGGTCCTTAAATTGTTCTGCCCATCGATCCAACTGGAACACGTTTCTATTAATTAGCACGTTAATATTCAGAAAAATCGATTATTTCTTTAATATGATAGTTCGAGTGTTCAACTGAGACAAGTTTTAAGAGCGAAAAGACAGAAAAGAGTCTATTTTAAATTGAATATTCTTCTGATTACTGAGAATGAAATACGTCAACTAATGGATATCGACAAATAGCTTTTCACTTTATTTAGTTAACAACAGAGTCAGTCAGTCGCTACTACCCTATTACCTAACACCGAAATATGAACATTTTGAGAGATTAATTTTATAATGCATATCTTTCACTTATAAGGATATGATAAAAAAAGTATTTGCATTCAGGTGTTCTTTTTTAAACTAGAAAAGGTCATTTATAAATACTCAGATTTTCTGGGACTAAACTCACTGAATACTTCGGAAACATATTAATTACCGTACTCAGCTGGGAACTAGGCACATATCTGCATCAGTTCAACTTACCCAAGAACATTAGCACAGTGTGATCGCATTGTCAAGGTATGTCAGCGTAATAGAAGTAAAAACGTATAGGTAAATTTCCAAGCTCAGATTCTAAGAAACAGCAAAGTAGGAATGCACTGGAGCCCCTAAGAATGATCTTGAACTTTCAGTCAAAGTCCCTCGCCATTGATCAAAATGATCACATAGACCCTAACCAAGTAGTCTAAACGTAATACCTTATCTCAGTTCAACTGTCGACGACTTCCTGGACTGATGTAATACCTTGGTTGAAGTAGGCGGTAGTTATTAACAAGCACTTTATTATATTTGCCAGAGATGATTCTGAGAAATAGCTCAGTTACCAATTACAGACTTGCGTATGAGGTTTTAATTCAAACTTTATCTGTGGCCCCCGATTATACTACTTAGTTTCTTAAGCCAAATTAGGTGTTGTGATGATCGAAAATGCAACTAAATAGTTAAGAGTCCAGTTTTTTAACCACTAAAATAATGCTTGATAATTTGCTAAATAGGAATTTCAAATTTTACTTAACATATCCTGATTAGGGAGCACGGTTTCCGTATCCAGTGGTCAGTTGAAAAATAACCAAGCTTTTAGTTAATTTGGGTCTAGGAGGAATAAAGTAACTAAAAGCCTAATGGAAATACGTCTACTTAGCTATTGAGCGACAGTAATCAGTTATTTATTGACAATAAGTCAAATGTATTTTTCTCCCAATTCGCCACTAGATAAAAATCACTACTTACCAAATATGGTCGAAATCAAGTGACGAAATTTTATATTGCTCTGTAAATAACTGTGTTACTTCTGAGCGTGTTACTACTAAGTTGCAATTGGTAACACGGTTATCAATGTCCTTCGAAATAAAGAACTCATCAAACTGTGATGCATATTCAGCTTCTCTCATTGATTGTAATGCAAATGATGCTAACCATTTAAGACATCTTTCTTTACGCTTTGCATTTTGATTTGCATAAGTATTATTATACTGTGAGAATGGGAATGAAGAACTGCGATAGTGTGATACCTTCCCTTTATTGACTTCAGATTTTCGAGTATTATTGAATGAAAATCGATAATTGTCCTCAGAATTCTGTAAAGCTTGAAAAGTTATGGGAAAAAGTACCTGTTTTGATGAATTTATTAATTTACATTAAAAAGAATGTAGCAAATGCGATCTCTTCTTAGTAAAAGATGGGTTGAGTCAGTAACAAAATAACTGATCTATACAATTGGAGCGTCTAATAACACGATTGAGTCTCAAGTTCTCATGACCAGTAATATGTGTAAACAATGGACATTAGTATTGCTTCGGTTTTCTAAAACTAGTGAAATAAAATTTACACATTTATAAAGAGATTACATCCAACTTTGATAGTTACAATTGCGTTAGACGATTTATTTATTCAGTGTTTTGTAAGTTTGGGTGTGAATAGAAAATTGTTTGTACTTCTATTTATATTACTTCAATAGTGTCGATTTATAATTATTACTGTATACGATTTTTATACGCAATTACTAATCTGACTTGCAACTTTCTGTATATGATTGTAACTGCATGGGTGGAATTCCGTCCTCTGGAGGGAATCAGTCTTAACCAGCAATATTAACAGGTGTTTGTGAATAGTGCATATATTATCAAGCCATATTGCACTTGGAAAAAAATAAAGGTTATTGAATGTAAGGAGAAAGATACTAAAAATTAATACGATGTTGAGGAATGATAAGTTATATTTATTTCAGATAAACTATGAAACAAATGAAAGTTGATCCCAGTGACTCATTACCTACGTACAGGTTTTGTATACGACTTTCGTATTGGAGATAGATATACTATCCGACGGACTAAAATGAGACAGATGGGACGGTGAGGATTTAGGACCTAGTAGTTAGAAGTTGGGAGGCCAGTTTCCAAGCCGCCACTCTTAACGAGCTTTAGGAGAATCGGGGTGCGCCTGATTTATAGTAGGATAATAGGATACATTACCTGAAACTAACAGTAGGTATGTAAGTAGCAGTATAAGAAATATTTCAGAGATCTTAAGACAAGGAGTAAAAACAATAAATGTTTGCTAATGAAAGCAAAATAAAATTGAGTGAAGGACACAGAGTTATAAAAATCACTCAATGTATATTAATAATACGCATGATTTATGTCTTTTATTCCACTCAGGTGTTACTACCACAGAAATTTCAATCCCAGCCTCAATAACATAAACTCACAGTGGTCGACAGAAGTCCCTTTCGGTTGAATTTCACTTAGCAGATCAGACGAGTGATCAGGTAAATCTCGATAACTCAACACACTAGCATCATGTAATTTCTTGATATTTTCACATTCTTTATTAGTGCTTTCAAAATAAGTAGATGAGTTAGAATCTTGAGAAGCGATTGTATCAGAAGATCGAGAAGAAGAGCAATTGGTGTTTGAATGCATTTTCTTTCGAAATGGCTTGTCTGGGATCCACCAATCAGAAGTTTTGGGTATTTTGTCCTCGTTATCGTCATGTTCAATAGATTCCTCCGTTAAAAGACCTGCGAATAAGACAACTAGAACAGTCTAATGGAAATAGGTTAAGCAGACAGAGAAAATTAGTTTCCGATAGTAAAACTGATAAATTGAGCAGTCGAAATTAAGATATTTCGGCAGCCGATGGCCGTCATAAACCGTACAATAAATCTATAGACCGAGTGGTCAGTTGGGACTTGCCACTATAACAAATGAATGAAACATTACTACAGAGCTTGTGTCGCTCAGTATAATGCCTGTGATTAAATAAACTGTCTGATCAAACAAAGGATCAACTAAAATAGGAGAACAACATGTATGTACTAAGAATTCTTTACCGTACATAAGGCGGTTATTATTATTCTGTTGTCATGTGTTGAAAATCATAAATTTAAGGTAAGAATATTTTGATAATCTCTTTTACAGGTTTGGTTTGATCTACGGCTCACACAGAAAGTCAGTTTCGTCCACACATGATATATCTTGCTTATTTCATCTAATTACTTCTCCTTATCTAGAATTTCTCGGACACTACCTGACTGTTCCTCAAATCCGAACCCGATCTCGACAGGGAACAAATTATATTCCAAAACGAAACAGTAAGTTCACGTAGTTAACACAATAGGGAAAACGGTAACATGATCATCATTTTAATGTAAGAAGAATCTAGAGTCTTCTTTATATATCCAGTAGAGCTGGATGGCTAAAAATGGGGCGATGTAATCGGCTTTAGTGTCATTTTGTATGGAACGTGCTTTAATACAACCTAAATGCTGCCAACAAAATCACTAAAAGTTAACAAAAAAGAAACATTTCCCGTATACTTCGACATGTCCGTTTTACAAAGTATTATGTTACAGTTGATACGCTCTGACTCCATTAGGTGGAATAGGACTTTGAGTGATAACCTGGTAGTTGAAATTAGAATACTCCATACCGATACAGTTACCGCATTATAAAACAGCGTAATAATTATTCAGTCAAGTTTGATTGGATGTAATCAATACACTTAAAAAATGGTAAATAATTGAAATTTTACGGACAAATTACCAACTGCCTTGAAATCAACTTTACGATAATAACCAACTCACATTCTATTCTGCTGATTCTGTTACTAATTCTTTAGGCTCTGAGATTTGCTTATCTAGATTTGTCTCAATGTGCTGATATGGAAAGGCAACTTTAATTGATGCACATAAGTGCCACTTTATACTATGTATACGACTGACCGACAGCAGTTCGCACGGTGTTGAATAAAAAGTTTTAATCAAAAAGTTACACTGATTCGTCGGTAATCCTAAATAAATTAGATGACCTTGGTTGACGTAGCTAACCTTTTAAGACTAAGACAATAGACAGACCTAGTCTATTTTCCAACGACTCCGGTTGCTCATTATTTTATCTAGTATTATTATTGGGACATAGTGTGTACAAAACATGAAAATGGAATTTTTACGATTCCTTGGAATCAATAAACGATTGTGAACTCTTAGAGACATTTGTTTGAAAAGACAAGGATTCTCTATTAATGGTATATTGTTTAGGGCACTTGAATTTCAACCGTTGACTCAGACATTGCCGGTAAGAGTAGATGATATTTGCAGGTTACTAGTGTTCGATCACAGATGTCTTAGAAGCATTGTAGAGATGAGACATTAGGAGGTGTAGGGTGGTCGGGCTTGCCTATCGTGATGACCCAACCGAGCTATACTGGCTGGAACATATGTTCCCCAAGGTTCTACCATGTCAGACAAGTCGATTGGAGAACGATGAGACTAAAAGCAGCTACCCAAGGTCTGAGGGCGAAGTCGTACTGCTGACTGCAGAGGGGTGTGACAACAGTAAGGTGTTTCCCTTGGACAACCAGCATCTGCAGCGATGCTGCCTTCTCACAAGGAAGGAAGGGTTAGAAAAGGTCGGCCCTAAAAATGTCACACCTCCCCTAACTCACGGATTTCCGTCTCCTTGGGTAAGGGTGCCAACTAAGGGCCTTTCAGAACGGAACTAATCCTCAAAAAACATTTCATAAAAAGGCCGTGCGTGACCGGCCTCAAGCAGTTGTCCCTTGGACTCTGCGGTCACGCACCAACACTAATCTATCTTCCTTTTCAGGTCCCTCAAGAAACAACCTTCCACGGTGTGGGCAGCCGGGAAGTGACAACCGCCCTCATACACATAACAGCACGCGAGACCAAATTGGTCAAAATCAAATCCTTCCTACACCCACACATACCTCTCTTATCTCCACGACTAACCCTTCTCACATTCATTCATCACAGTGCACAGCTAATGCAGACGATACGAGTTCGCGAAACGTCGTTCCTGGTCTCCTTAAACCTCGCTCAAGACTACATGTTGGAGCATTTAATGTACGTACATTGTGTCAAATAGGGCAACAGGCATCATTAGCTACGACTTTAGAATCTCGTTCCATCGATGTATGCTGCGTCTCGAAAACGCGCATACAGGATCCGAGTCGCGTCATACACTTGGCCACAACATGTCAAAATAAAGAAGCAGCTCGATTTACTCTTCGTGTATTCGGTAGCCCTGATGCTGCTTCCTGGGGTCTCGCCGGTGTAGGTATAGCATTGAGTCGTAGGGCAGAACAATCTCTCCTTGACTGGATCCCAATAGATAGTCGATTGTGCGCTGTCCGACTAAACGGGACAGTAAGGACTCGGAAAGATAGGGACAATCGCCGTTGCCTCTTCATCGTATCTGCCTATGCCCCCACTGAATGCAGTTCAGACGAGGTGAAAAATGAGTTCTGCAGAAAGCTTTCGGACCTCCTCCAAAAAGCTAGGCGCTCTGATATAGTATTAATGGCTGGTGACTTCAATGCTCAAGTAGGTAGACTAAGTGAAAATGAAAGACACCTAGGTGGATGTTATGGTGTCGCGGCTCAGAGAACAGACAATGGTGACCGTCTGTTGCAAATATGCTCAGACAACCGCCTATTCTTAGCTAACACTAACTTTAAGCATAACGAAAAGCATCTGTTGACCTGGCGACCTCCAAAGTTGTCTCAACGTTGGACCCAACTAGATCACATTGCCATCAGCCACCGATGGACGGGTTCGATAGAAGACTGTCGCTCGTTCTGGGGCACATGTTTAGATTCAGATCATGCCCTAGTGCGAGCGCGTATTTGTTTGAAGCTTACTGGGCGTAGGAAAGACACCGTAAGAAAGCCTCTCAGGGTTTTACTTAATGATAATAAGGCGAAAAATATATTTCAGGAACAACTAGAAAGACAGTTAGGCGACCATGCAAGTGATTCCCATCCGGAGTCAGGTTGGAATGATATCAAAAAGGCTGTGGAAACAGCACTGATATCTGCTAGTAAGGTTGACCATAAGGCTAGGATGAAACCGTGGATCTCAGTAGCATCCACCGATCTGATGGATGCCCGAAAACTCATCCCACCTGGCTCTGAACATGATGAAGAACGAAGTCAACTTAGGCGCAGACTTATGAAAAGCCTACGTAACGATCGCGAACAGTGGTGGGTGGCGAAAGCAAAAGCGATGGAAAAGGCAGCGGCGATCGGCAACAGTAGACAACTTTTCCGACTTAGCAAGGAAACTGGTATTAGGAATCCTAGTGTAAGTGAGACTATCTCATAAAATGACGGGACTATCATTTATTCTCAATCCAGGAGACTGGATCGATGGGCAGAACACTTTAGGGATTAGTTCAACTGGCCTCGAGCCACTCTTCGGTTACCCACGATCTCCAGTCATCCTGAATGGCAAATCGACATAAGTCCCCTTAGTCTTAATGACGTTGAAAAAGCGTTAGTAAATCTGAAGCGAGGACGAGCTGCGGGTCCTGATAGACTGACCCCTGAGATATTTAAGGATGGTGGTTCAGTTTTAGCAGCTAGGTTGACTGAGATCTTAGGTAGAATCTGGGAACTGGACGTAATCCCACATGAGTGGTCTCAATCACTGATTGTCGCAATCTATAAGGAAGGACAGGAGTCTTCCTGTGACAATCACTGAGGAATAAGTCTAACTAATATAGTATCTAAGATAGTGGCCTCAGTAATACTTCGACGCTTAACGAAAGCTCGTGAAGAGCAGACTCGAGAAAACCAATCTGGTTTTCGACCGGGACGTGGCTGTATAGACCACATTTTCGCACTACGACAGGTCCTGGAACACAGACACACATTTAGACGTCCTACAATAGTTGTTTTCCTAGACCTTAAGGCGGCATTTGACTCTGTGGATCGTGAGGTTCTGTGGCAGTGTCTGTCATTGAAAGGTGTACCAAATAAGTACATTAACCTCATACAAGCTCTCTACTCAAACACCACTGGTCGAGTGACAGCTTATGGCGAACTGTCACTGGAATTCTCTACTTCAAGTGATGACCGTCAGGGATGTCCACTTTCTCCATTCTTGTTTAATTTTATCATAGACATGCTCCTAGAAATAACCTTATCCTCGTCTGAATTTTCTGGAGTAGACCTTTTACCGGGTGGCTCGCTTATTGACTTAGAATATGCCGATGACATAGTCCTACTTGGTGAAGACGCTGACAAAATGCAGAGTCTTCTGACTACCCTAAGCAACAATGCAAGCATGTTCGGGATGCGGTTTTCCCCCTCGAAATGCAAAATGTTGCTTCAAGACTGGGTTTCATCGGCACCTGAACTAATGATAGGGAGTGAAGTAGTCGAACGTGTAGACCGCTTCACTTATCTTGGGAGTCTCATCAGTGCTGATGGCCTGGTGACTGACGAAATCTCGGCACGGATACAGAAGGCTCGATTGGCTTTTGCCAACCTGCGTCACTTATGGCCTAGGCGTGATATCCATTCTCTAACCAAAGGACGAGTGTACAGCGCAGTGGTTCGCTCCGTCTTACTTTATGGCTGTGAAACATGGCCAATGAGAGTAAAAGATACTCGTCGATTATTGGTTTTCGATCATAGGTGTCTTCGAAGCATTGCTCGTATATCGTGGGACACCCGAGTGAGCAACGCTGTCGTTAGGAAACGAGTACTAAGCAAGGA